GGAAAAATACATCTTTTAAGAGCATTTTTGTGAACTTTCGGGATTTGATCAAAGCTTAGAGAATTGGACTGAAATTCTAGAAAAGAACAATTAACGCACTTCAGTCTTTATTTCTCTCTTTCTCTTTGAATTTCGCCCTCTTTCTTTCTTCCACCTGAAAATTATAAATCCCTTAAAGGTTGAGGATTGTATCGAGATAAATGGGGGGGAAAGAATATAGAACAGAGTGTGGTAGTTTTGCACATCACTGCAAGTTACTACTAAACCAAAACATTAATCTAAAAACAAGAGTCTTAAATCGACTCGGCAGATCGATATTTTCATATTAATGATGTCGTGTATAGGGCAAAATTCGTCCAGAAATGTCTAAATTGTCAGCTGTATAAAACCGCTTTCTCAGATCAATGATTAAAAACGGCCTCGAGCGAAAGAAAGAAAGAAATAAAGAAAGAAAGGGAAATATTTAAATAAGAAAAAAGAAAGAAAGAAAGGGAAATAAAAAGAAAGAAAAAAGGAACTCATTACGAAAGAAAGTTAAATATTAAGAAAGAAAGAAGGTAAAATCTTACGAACGAAAGAAAAAAGAAAGAATGGGAAATATTAAGAATTAGAAGAAAAAAGAAGAGAAAATGTCACGAAAGAAAGAAAAAAAGTAGAAGAAATATGAAAGAAAGGGAAATATTAAGAAAGAAAGAAAAAAGAAGAGAAAATATGAAATAAAAGGAAATATTAAGAAAGAAAGAAAAAAGGGAAATATATATACGGAAAAGAGAAAGAAAGAAAGAAAGAAAGAAAGAAAGAAAGAAAGAAAGAGTGACGTAATAGAGTAGAATGGAATATCCTAGTCAGGAAGATTTTGAGCAGGATTTCTTGACTGAAATTACATTACCTTGTAGGTGATGAATTAATTTCTGCCTTTCAACGCATTTCCCAGAAACAAAACTTGCTAGCCTTTTGCTACTCAATTGGTAATGCCATTGGTCTGATGAATTAAATCCATTGGTTCCACCAGTTCAGTCATCTACAGCAAGAAAGTCTCCAACCAGGTACACAGCGGCAATCCATGCTTCTTCCTTTCTTCCCCAGAAATATTACTTTGTGGAACTGACTCCTCTCTTTACGCACTTCCAACAACTTTATTCAGTAACCAACTGCCTTGAGTGTCTTTTGGGCTTTGTATAATGTGAAAAATCGTAAAAAAAAGTAATTCGGAAAATGAAATTTGTGAACCAAGATCGAATTCTGATCTAGGCATCCCACTATCACAATAATGCCCTTGGAAAATATAAACCAGTTCTCCCAGAGGCACTAACATCTTAATAATTATCATAACTCTCCACAACCCCCTGTCCTTTGTAGCTGTTGGCAAAAATCATTTTATTATTGCTTCCCCTCCCTCTTCTGACATTCATTTAAACAAGTTCTTTAAGTAGATTATTCGCTGTTTTCCTCTTTCCCTCTTATCTTCAATATGCCATGTGAGTCTCAAATTCTCCAAGCTTTCTTTTTTCATTACGTGTCCAAGAATTTTCAAGCGTCTCTTTCTGATTCTAAGTATAAGCGTCCTTTTCTTTCTAATTTTCCTTAAAACTTCCTCATTAAACACATGCTCTGCAGGGTGTCCACTTACCAGGTGCTGTAAACTTGGATGTGCGGGTGGTGTAATGGCTCGAAATTGTTAACCGGAGAGCCGAGTTTTAATTCCAGTTGGGTTCGTTATATTCACTTACGATCAGGAAAGGTACGAATCCATTTCTTCTACCCCAACTAGAGGTTAATTAGTAAGACTTGTATCACTAAAACTTTATTATTTCCAAAAGAAAAAAAATTCTTACAATCTAAAACTATTTTCTGGCTTTAAATAACCTACAAGCTGTAAAAACAAATCAATCTAGGAAACTTTATTTGGGAAAGATAGAATAAAACAGAGTTGATACTGGATGCAGATCTACTGGATAGGGATAGAAATACTGTAGAAAAAGAAATCAATCTCTTGTTATCTGTATGCAACAAATAACGAAAGGATTGAAAGGAAACTTTCATTAATATTAGAAAGAGCTATAACAGTTAGTGGAATTAAAAAAAAACGGTTTTTATAAATTTCAGTGAACAGCGACATAATTTGAATAAGAAATGTTTCCTAATTTGAAACGGCTAGTCTCACTATTACCAATGTAAATTGTTTTACTATGAAAATGCATTGAAAATTATTTTTACTATAAAAATGCATTGAAAATCATTTGACTATGAAAATGCTTTGTAAATCATTTTACTATAAAAATTCATAGCAAATGATATTACTCTGAAAAGGTATTGGAAATCATTTTACTATGAAAATGCATTGAAATTGATTTTACTAGAAAAATGCATTTGAAATAATTTTACTATGAAAAGCATTGGAAATGATTTTACCTTAAGAATGCATTGAATATTATTTTACCAGGAAAATGCATTGAATATTATTTTACCAGGAAAATGCATTGAAAATCAGTTTACAATG